TAGTACTCCTATTACTACTACTAGTACTACTACTACTACTACTACTACTACTATATTACTTCTGCTAGTACTACTATTACTAGTAGTAGTAGTAGTAGTAGTACTACTACTACTACTACTACTATTAGTATTACTACTACTACTAGTACTACTACTATTACTACTAGTACTAGTACTACTACTAGTACTAGTACTACTACTACTACTACTACTACTACTACTGCTACTACGACGACGACGACTACTACTTACTATCTACTAAGTACTAGCTACTTAGTACTGACGACTAAGTACCAACGGCGAAGTACTAACTACCAACTTACAAACTACAGACAACTAATCGCTAGCTACGAACTACGAACTACCAGCTACAAGCTACAAGCCACTAGGTATTGACTACTGACTACTAGCTAGGAACACCACTGACTGCCGGGTACTAACTACTAATTATTGTTTATTTATTAAGTGTTAGCGACAAACTACCCAGCATTAATTTCTTACTATTTTCTATTCTCTACTAGCCATTTAACTATTAACTACCAGCTTCTAAATACTTTCTACTAATTCTACTAACTACTAACTATTAACAACTAACTACTAACTGCTAAATGCTACTACTAGTACTACTAGTACTACTACCACCACTACTACTCCTGCTGCTGAAGCTGCTGCTGTTGCTGCTCCTACTACTATCCTACCAGTGCCGTTGCCACTACCATTGCCATTGCCACGGCTACTGCTGCTTCCTCCGTCACTACCACCGCCACCACCACTACCACTATTCAATCCGACTGTGAGGTTTGGATCCACCTCCGCGGCGAAGACTTAGGCCACTCCGATTACAAGTTCTCCAGCTCCCAGCGTGTGCACTTCGTTGCTGAGGTGCGAACTTGCTGCATGTGATGTTTTCCAGGGTTGAAAAGGGTGATAGCATGTACCACCGTGCGCAATGTTGTGAATGTTGGCACAGGCCGACGACAGTGTCGTGCCGAAGCTGAAGGAAGCGCTTGAAAGAAGGACCGAGCGTAAGATCCTTGCTGCGTCTCATGCTGTGTCTAGCACTCCGCACCCGTGCTCCCACACAAGCATATGCAGGTCAGCTGGTGAAGTAGAGCCCAGTGCCCAGGCGTTGTCTCTTACTGTCCGGAGGCTTCATGACATCCACGACAACATAATCCAGACCCTGAAAGAGCGACTTGGAAAGATCAGCGTGGGTGCCCGTGAATATTTTTGCAGACAGCGGCATGTGGACAGGCGGTGTCCTGCTGCCATCCGAGGAAGGGTGGTGGTCGAAGAGACCGAGATCGGGGCCGGGAATTTGAAGATCCATGGATGCAGGCGGCGCATCCTCCGCCGGCAGCCTGGTGGGGCCACCCGCCCCCTCACCCTGACCCTTGGGGCGCCCCACCACCCTGGGGTCCGCCGCCACCCGGATGGTAGCCTAGCTGTTGACGTCTTTAGTCGGCCAATTGGAGACTTCACATGGCGTCCTCCCGGGACAAAAGGGCTCTTTGGGAGGTTATGCCGGACTGTTGCAAGTTAGAACATTGAGCGTTAATGGAGCTTGTCCTTCTGGGCCTCCAAGTGGTCGACGTTGGGTGTTTATGGAAGCAGGTGTGCCATGCCTCTCCACTGTGACGCGTTCAAGAAAAAAACAGATGCCGCTGCCCGCATGGCCTTCGCTTGTCTGCCTGCCGTGCTGACAGTGTATGTAGAGGATCCAATCTGAGGTGGGCAAACAGAACGAAGCGCTGGAGACTTTGCACCATGCCATCCTGCACAAGCGCTGGAAGAACCAGTGGCCACCTCCTGAGATCGGTGACCGACCGGGATGCGCATAAATGGTCAGCGGAAAATGTGGGAAACAGGTCCCCAACCCTGGAGAAGATTATTGAACGCCACTTGCAGCTGTGCCACCGCCTCAGTTGCGGCTGAGCCAGGAGATGAGATACGAGCGGGGCAATAGATCCGATCCCAACAGGCGTCGAGCTTCAGAAGATGCGTTTTGCAAGAGAAGGCGTGGCGGGGCTCGCATGTTTTCCAACTCTGCAGGGAGAACTGCAGTGTCGGAGTTTTCGTCGAATGAGTCTTCGTGAGCGAAGCGGCCGCATGCCGGTCTTGTTCAGGTCTCCACCAATACCGCGCGACATGCCAAGCTGCGAACATCCAATCGCTGGAACAGGCAGCTTCTTCAGGAAGGTTAGCTTGGCGTTCTTGATTGAAAGACGGTCTGATTTCGCCAACCAGTAAAACCGGCCAAACATACTAATTATCGAGATGCTTACATTGAAACATGAGATCGTGCAGGTCGTCCGAGTTTTCCGCAAGGCCGCGGAAGAGAAGGCTCGTGCACAAGATGTTTTTCTGTCAAATGAATAGCAGACATGTTACATCGCTGTGCGTGTGTCTGGGTAAACGTGCAGGTGAACCAGGCCAAGAAGGAACAGGCCGGCAGCTTCAGTTTGCATTCGGACATGCTGCCGGAGCCATTCACATTTCATGAGGAGTCTGTTCAACAGATGTCGAGCACATGTGCAGGTAACGGTGTTTAACATTGTGCAAAGCACGCGGTAATTCTCTCATGGCGTAGTGGCCCTGTAGCTCTCAACTCCTTTCGTGCCCTTTGTCACCCTGGGCTGCAGAAGCCATCGAAGAAGCAGTGTGGTCGTGGCAGGATGTAAGGCTTGGCAAGGTGGCCGACTTGGAGGAAATGGACGCGTCCCGGGCCGAGCTGATCTCTCGATCTGACGTGTCGAGGTGTATTGTCCCTGCAATGCTCTGTCAACGAGGAAGTCACGATTTCGGTGACAGAAAGCAAATCAGACTTGGAGCGAGGGGTCTGTATTGGGGAAACTTTCAATGGTGCTGGCTCAAGCACGCGGGCGGTGCAAACTCAAGGAGTTCAGCTTCTTGAATAGCTTTTGGAAGCCATGATCCGTGCCCTGCTCTTCCTGGCTTCCTGCAGTGCTGCGGTGGCTTTCGTCCCCCCAGCGCAGCAGAGCAGCGTGAAGTTCCAGGCGCCGGCTGCGCGGGCTCAGGAGAAGGTCGACGAGGC